CTGACTCTTATTTTTGCATCTCTCATTGTCATTACAATTGTGTTGCTGGACATTGCACTGCATTTGGCTGGCTTCAGGTCCAGTCATTCACCGTGGAAAATCAATGACAGCAGCTTCATTTGGACTAACGTTGTCTAGGGATGATTTGTCTAGCATGGCTTCTAGTGTTTGAAGAGTCTGAAAGATTCGGTCTGGGAAAGTGAACATCATGCCCTGGCTGCCACCAAACGTTGAATCCAATTAGCCCCACCTGCCCCTGGTTGTTTACCTAATGAAAGACTCAGTACCCCAGCTGTGTCCAGGGACCAGGCACACTTGCATGTCCCTACTGTTCCAGAGAGGAAGCAAAGCACATCAGAGCCAGTCGCCACCAGCAGATGTTTTCCAAATGAAATTTACTCAGCTGTGTCTAGAGGGTGGACCCCTCTCATGGCAGCCTTATCACCTGTTCCAAGAGGTCTACCTAGTTTCCGCTTCCTCCTGGGAACAGGTACAAATAGTTACACAGATGGCTCTGCCTGTGGCCCAGTGAGCTGTGAATTAATTAGTAGATTATGGTTCTGGTAGTGGTAATTAACCCCACTCCTCTCATGGAATAATTGTTGGAGATTTAGCTCTACTTTTTTGAGGCTATTTGGTTATGTCCCGGAATTTTGTAGCCCACACAATCTAGTTTAGCACAAAATTATAAACCAATAAATGCAATTGATCAGGATGGAAAGTTGCCACTTGAATGAAAAATTTCCTTTAGGGTAATTGTATGCTGCAAATCAATAGCAGTATTTCAAAGTATAATATTGGGAATTGCATATTGGATGTTTATTCCATTATGAGTTAATAATTTATTGTTGAGGGCACTATATAGGTAGCATGTTAGTTAATTTGGATTGCATTTTTTAATAAGACAGGATCGATGAATATTAGCGAAGGCAGTAATATAGTATTTGAATTATTGAATTAATCCAGTCTTCCAAAAAATATATAAGTAAATAATGTGAGTGCCTTTAACATAGTACCCCACTAAGCTAATTTCTTTCATTCCAGTGAGTGCAAAATGAAAAACTCTAGATTCCCAAAATGTGTGATACCATCCCACACCTGCAGACCCAAACTGTTTACTAACCCCTAGGGTCAAAGTGGGCCTGGATGAATGGGCTCAAAGATTTAGAGGCTGGAAAACTGAGTTAGGTTTGGGCTTCTCACTCTGTGGAGCAAAATTTGGCTTGTAGTGTGAGTATAAGAGGAATTGAGCCACCCAGCCAAAGTTCTTTCTAGATACAGACACTGAAATTTAAATTTTAAATAATTTCCACATGTCGCAAAATATTCTTCTTCTTTTGATTTATTTAAATTTATTTATTGTTGAAAGTATTACAGATATACCCCATTTTCTCCCCTTTACCCGCCTCTCCCCATCTCCCACCCCTCTCCACTTCTTCCCATCTATTGTCTGTGTCCATGGGCTGTGCATATATGCTTATCAGTTCTAAGAATCCCAAAGCATCACTCAGAAAGAGTATATGCACCCCTATGTTCGTTCATAGCAGCACTATTTACAATAGCTAAGGTTTGGAAACAGGCCAGGTGCCCATCCGTAGATGAGTGGATAAAAAAGCTGTGAGACATTTACACCATGGAGTACTATGTGACTGTAAAAAAGAAGGATCTCGTACCCTTTGGGACAGCATGGATGGACCTGGAGAGTATTATGCTAAGAAAAATAAGCCAGTCAGAGAAAGCCAGGCAGAGAAAGATCTCACTCACATGTGGAACAAAATAAATTGCCGAACAAGATAAGACCACAGACATGGAAGCATGAAACAGACTCACAGATCTGAGAGAGAAGGCAGGAAGGAGGGCAGGAAGAGATTGACCAAAGAACTTCTTTTGATTTTTTTTAAAAAGCATTTGAAAATGTGAACACTGTTTATAGCTTACAGGATATACCCAGTCAGCTGATGGAGCAGATTTGACTGACAGCCATGGCTTGTTCAGGCCATTGTATAGGACAGAGTTCGAACTGTGAAGTTGTAGGTGATACACATCAAAGGAGGGTTTTTTTGTTCGCTTGCTTTCCAAAGGGAGAGATCGCGGACGGCTGACGTATCCTTCACAGAGAGCATGAGACTTTGAGGCCCTCCGATGACAGGCCGCCTGGGAGGATCACCTGGGAGTAGTGGCAGGGGGAGGGCCTATCAGCAATCACTTCCTGGCTCCTTTGTTTTGAGTCGGGACTTTTTTATGCTGGATGTTTTTCAGAGTGAAAGGCACAAGCACACTCGTTATTCTGCTACAGAGAGGTTTGGGGAGAGCCTGGGGCGCGATTTCTACTTTGGCCAGGATGCCAAATGGCCTGATAGCTCACCCGAGTCCTTTAGTGCAGAGAAGAAGGAAAGAAAGACCACTAGGTTGGTCTAGTTTGTGTGTTATCTGGACTCCTAAACCTGAAGAGGGCTATTTTATCTCCAGCTCAGTTCTTATACACAAGTGTGGTCCATTGGACTGATGGTATTGAAGCTCCAGGCAAGACACCCAGTTACAGGGTTACTGCCAACTCCAAGTGAGAAATGATGAGGGTCTAAATATCGGTTATGACTGAACCTGGACAGGAAATGGCGGATTGTAAGATTCTGAGGAGGTGGACTGGCGGGATGCGGTGACTGGGCGATGGGAGGACTCTGAGTTCCTGACACGGTGGATGGTTGGACTGTTGACAGAAATGGGAATATGAGGTTTAGTGGAACAGAAAGAGGTGGACAATACATGTGCTCCTTTTGACTCATTTTTATTTGAAATGCTGGTCAGACTTTCAAGTAAAGTTTTCCAGTAAGCCTTTGGATATGCAGGTCTGAGACTTAGAAGGCAGGGCAGCAATTGATTTATGGCTGAATTTTTACTTCAGTCAAAAGTGTGGTGTGGGTAGATTTAGGAAGCCCCTTTCCTACTGCTAACACATAGAAAGTCCAGATTAAAATATAACTTAAAAAAAAAGTTTTAATATGTATCCAAATTCAAAAGGAAGAAGAAATTCTCCAGATGCCTCAAATGAAAGAGAAACTAAAATCCAAAGCAAAAAGCAAATGTTGAAGTTGAGTCGCCCCTAAAGGTATCAGGACCAGATATTGAGGTTGTCTGAGTCTCTTTGAGCTGCTCTAACAAAATACCACAGATTGGATGGCTTATTAGAAACTGAAATTTATTTTTCACAATTCTAGAGGCTGGAAGACCAAGATTATGGTGCTGTGAGGACCCTCTTCCGGTCAGAGGCTTCTCATTGTATCCTGATGTGATGGAAGGGGCTGGGAACTTTGGGATCTATTTTATAAGGGCACTAATTTCACTCGTATGGCCTCCACCCTCATGACCTAATCACTTCTCTAAGGCCCCACCTCCTGACACTGTCACGTTAGTGTTAGGATTCTAATATGTAAATTTTATTTCAGATCATATGAGAGGTCAAGAACCAAATAAGGGCTGGCATTGCCAGGGAGTTTTATCTGTGCAGAAGTTATACAAGAGCATTCCGTTCATAAAAGGAACCAGGAAAACTCTGGGCTTGGGAAAGAGCCACCAAACTTGGAGTAGGAAAGGTGGCCCTGAAAAGCAATCAGAATTCCACTCATGTGATACATGCAAATTGCACTACTTGTGTGAGGAGAGAAACTTTTAACCTAAAAAAACCTTAAAAACTTATTTAGAACTAGTGAAACCCACAGGATCCAGAAGAGACCAATGCAAACGGCCTAAAAGTAACATGTCCAAAACTCAAGGCAAATGTGGGTTCTTGCAGGAGACAGATGCCACTGAGGCAGAGCTTGCAGAATGATACACAGACCCCATGAGAAAGCTCGCCACCCTGAGGACGAGAGGGAGGCGCAGCAAAGGGCATTTGTCATCCGAAGGCCAACTGCCAAGTATAGATCCATGGGAGGGGGCTTTGCAATCGCTGCTGTTAAATATTCGAAGGGACAAAGGAATAGAGTCCATAATACTCGAACAGGACATTTTGGAGTGGATTTGTAAAAGAGCTAAACAGAAAATATGGAAATGAAAAATGTTAATTGAAAAATTCTCAAAAAGCAGTGGATGGGTTAAATCACAGAGCACACCCTGCATGGGTTGTACGCGAGAACTGCGGGGTATCCTCCCATGTAGCCCTGATACCAGAACAAATCCCTGCCTGAGCGGGAGGGGAACCTCCTGGAGCCCTGTCCGCTTCAGAGGGGGCGCCAGCTAATGAGCACTCCCTTCGTAAATAACTGTCACTTCTGTCACCTGGAGCTGGTGGTGAAGATTTTAGACCATTCACATTAGCTAGAGGGACAAAGATGTTGAACAGAAAGAGAAGCTTTTTAATTAAGTTGAAATTGAATGTTTAAGGTGACTTTACAGGTACATTCTGGTGAGAGCAGTGTCCATCTAACCCTCAGGTCCTATTAAAGGTCACTCATCACAGCCCACTGCAGAGAGCCAGAGCCAGAGACGCTGCCCGACGTCAGGGGTGGGAGGTTTCTCTATGGTGGTGAGTTGAATGCAGGGGTGTCCATAGTTCAAAGATCACTTCAAGTAGAACTAATTGGTAGTTTAAACAAGAAGTCAGAGGACAACCCTTTGTGACACTGTCACCCTTCAGGCACCGCTTATGTTGTCACTTGATAGCATTCTTTTATATGGCTGCTCCACTCTTTTTAACATCTTTCTTGAAAGATCCCCCCAAAATCTACCATGCACTTTTATTTATCCTAAGGGATATAGCAGGAGTAATTAATACTATTAGCTTTCATGATTACTCAACAATGAAGAATCTCAGAATGAAATCTAGAAATGATTGTTCCCAGTAATGTGACCTGTTAATGGGTGTCACTGCCCCAACCCGGATAATGGGTTATGTTAACAGGAGAGAGGGATGAGGTATCTTTTCTGTGCAGCAAAGGTAGGTGACAAATGCTCACCAGATACTAAGCAATGTGCTGACGCGCCTTTTCTGTGGTTGTGTTTAGGGGCATCGTGCAATCGGAAGAGAAACTTGTCATTAGTGCATCTTGGGCAAAAGATGATGATATCAGCCGACTCCTGAAATCTCTACCAAACTGGATTAACATGGCTCAACCCAAACAGCTGAGGCCAAAGAGAGAAGAAGAGGAAGATTTCATAAGGTAAAAGCTGTTTCCTAAGTTGTACTGAACAAGAGGAGGGAAAACATCTGTTTAGCCAGTTCTGTCTTTTGCGAAATTTGGGCCAATTCTAAATATCAAGTAGCAATTAACCGAACTTTGTAAAGTCTGTTTCCATCCTGATACACCTCGCTTCCCATGCAAGTCTGCCTGGTGCTCAGACCTGTGGAAGGCAGGATGGGTGAGTCACATTGGGAGCAGTGCTAAGTCGAGTTAAAACATCTTTCAATCTGCAGATCATCCTCCCCTCCTAGGGGACAAATATAATTTATTCACTCACTCAGCAAAGCTGACTTCACCTTATGCACCATGCCCTGGGCATATGGCGGACAGTTAATAAGAATAGTTGCCGCCCATACAGAGCATGTTACAGTTCTTAGCATGTTCTTCAGTTCACAGAATGTTAGTCGCAATTTCTGGAAATACAAATGTGCCTCCCATGTCTGTTCATGTACATTGTATTATCTCTGACAGTTTTCAGCTTGTTTTGACAAAAGCAAGGTCTCTCTTTCAACATTATCACTCAGTGTTTACCTGAGTACAATTTAAATTCTTTACTTAGGGCCTAATTTGATGAAGCAACTCACTTTCCATGCAGGGCTTGCCACAGTGAAACGCTCCCCCTACTCTGTAAAGCGGGGGAAATGGAGGTGCCATGCTGTTAACATTAAAATTAAGTTTATTCTTATTGTCTTTGCCTATCTGAGTGAATAAATAAATAGTGCAAATAAAATAAAAGCACTTTAGAGAAGCAATGACAAATGAAAGAATAAGAGAAGTAATGGCCGATACCTTTTAATTTATCGTAAGACTGATGTAGGCTCCTCTCTTTCTCATGTGGTTTGCAACTATAGCTAAATAGGTCTTCACTGGTCACAAAGTTAACCATATTTATATACAGTGGTGCCACATTTCACCAACATTTTATTATGAAAATTTGCTATAGTGCCATTTAAAGCTTTCTCCAATCACAATATTCAAAAAGTCGCCTGTAATTTAATCGAAAGCCTTCCTATCTGCATTTTTATTTCTCTTTATTCACATTATCTCAGAGAAACTTGTCAACCAGTTACTTTAATATAAGAAAACTATACCTGTATATTATGGCTTACTTTTAAATTAATAGACTTTTTTGGGGGAGGAGCAATTTTAGGCTTATAAAAAATTTTATCAAAAACTACAGACTTCCCATAAATCCCCTCACACGCCCCCAGTGTGCTCTGTTTTTAACATTAGTGTGGTACAGTTGTTAACATTGATACATTATTATTGACTAAAGTCTGTAGTCTACATTAGGGTCCTCTCTGTTCGTTAACACCCTATGGGTTTTGATCAATGTATAATGAATGTATCCACCATTACAGTATCATTCAAAATAATAGTTCACTGCCCTAAAAATTCTGTTGCTTCGCCTAATCAATCATGCCTTCCTCTCCCCGAACCCCTGGCAATCACTAATTTTTTTTTTTTTATGATCTCCATAATTGTCTTTTCCAGAATGTCATGTAATTATATAGCATGTAGCCTTTTCATATTGGCTTCTTTTGCTTAGCAATATGCACTAAAGTTTTCTCCATGTCTTTTTGTAGCTTGATAATGCTTTTTAAAAAATTTCTGTATAATATTTCATTGTATGGACATACTATAGTTTGTTTATCCATTCACCTATGGATAACATTCATGTGCAGGTTTTTGTGTGGGTATGTTTTCAACTCATTTGAGTAAATACCAAGGAATACAATTGCTAGATCATATGGTAAGAGTATGTTTGGCAAGAAACTGCCAAACTGTCTTCACACTGTCTGTACCACTTGCATTCTCACTAGAAATGAATGAGAGTTCCTGTTGCTCCCCATCCTTAATAGCATTTGATGCTGTCAGTGTTTTGAATTTGGTACATTCTAATAGGTGTGTTGTGGTATCTCATTGTTTTAATTTTCCTAATGACATGTGTTGACCATCTTTTTATATGCCTATGTGATAGATATATAGATATATATTTTTATATATGTATTTAGGTGAGATATCTATTCCGATCTTTTGCCCATTTTTTAATCGGTTGTGTATTTTATTATTTTTGAGTTTCAAGAGTTTTTTGTGCATTTTGGATACCAGTCCTTTATCGATATGTTTTGCAGAGATTTTCTCTGGGCCTTGTCTTTCATTCTCTTCCCAATGTCCTTTGTAGAACAGAAGTTTTTAATTTTTTTTTTACAAATTTCAACCTTTATTCATAATAAAAATAAACTCCCAGAAGTCAAAAAGGGAATTTCTTTAATTTAAGGATATCTATTAAAAAACAGACCTGCTCCTCTGTTCCTCACCCCTTACAATTAGCCTCTTATTTAATGGTCAAAGGCGGAATGCTTATTCCCTAAGATCAAGAATAAAGTGAGAATGTTTAATCTGATACTACCATTAAAATTTTCTGATACCATCTTTTCTTTTCTTTTTTTTAATGTATCTTTATTGCTGAAAGTATTACAGATATCCCCTTTTTTCCGCCCGTTGATCCCCTCCACCCGGCATCCACCCCTGCCACCCCCCAGGCCTTCCCCACACTATTGTCTGTGTCCATAGGTTATGCATATACACATATAAGTTCTCTGATTAATCTCTCCCCCCACGCCCCACTCCCACCTTTAATTGAATTCAAACGTATTGATTTTCTTATCTTACAGATTGTGCTTTTTTGCCTTATGATTTTTATTGAACATTTTGTAGGATTCCATTTTTTCTTCTGTTAGCATATAAACTATACCTTTTTTTTTTTTTACTGTTTTTAGTGGTGGTCCTAGAGTTTCCAACACACATTTAAACTAATCCAAGTCCACTTTCAAATGACACTGAACCACTACATGGGGAATGCAAGTGCCTTGTAACACAACATTCCCAGTTCCTCCCTCCTGCTCCTTGTGACACTGTTCTCATTCATTTCATTTATCCACAAGCTATAATCACTAAATACAATGTTGTCATTATTTTGAACAAACTGTTATCTATTGATCAATTAAGAGTAAGAGAAATAAAAGGTTATATTTTCCTTTATTGTTTCTCTCTCGTGCTCTTCCTTTCCTAATGTAGGTCCAGTTTCCTGACCTATATCATTTCCCTTTTCCCTTCTTTTAACTTCTTTTAACATTTCTGATGAGGCAGGTCTACTGGTGACCAGTGCTCTCAATTTTTGTCTGTTAGAGACAGACTTTTTCCCCCTCACATCTGAAGAAGAATTTCACTGAGTACAGACAGCATTCTTGGTTGGTGATTCCTTTTTTCTAATACTTTAACTATTTCACGTCATTTTTCTTGCTTCCATAATTTTTGAAGAGTAGTCCCATGTAATTTTTATTCTTATCATTCTACAGGTGAGGTGATTGTTTCCTCTGGCTTCCTTCAGGGGCTTTTTCTTTGTTTTGATTTTGTGCCATTTGAATAGTATATGCCTGGATGTATATTTTTTGGTGTTTTTCATGCTTGGTGTTCTCTGAACAACCTGGGTCTGTGGTTTGGTGTAAATCACTGGTTTGGGAAAATTCTGTCATTATTGCTGCAATACTTCTGTTGTTTTTTTCTTTCTTTTACTCCTGGTATTTGCATTATACACGCATTTCACCTTCTGCAATTGTTCCACAGTTCTTGGATATTCTGTTCTGTCTTTTCACCCTTTTTTCTCTTTAGATTTCATATTTGGAAGTTTCTATTGATAATTCTTCAAGCTCACTGATTCTTTCCTTGGTTATGCCCAGTCTATTGATCAGTGCAGCAAAAGAATTCTTCATTTTTTTTACAATGTGTTTGATTGCTAGCATTTCCTTTTGATTCTTTGAGTTTCCATCTCTCTGCTTATATTACCTATGGTTTACACACACACACACACACACACACACACACATATATTTCACAGATAAAGAAATGGAGAGGGAGAGATAAAAATCATCAATGATAAGAGAGTCATTGATCGGCTGCCTCCTGCATGCCCCCGACTGGGGATTGAGCCCGCAACCCGGGCATGTGCCCTGACCAGGAATCGAACCAAGATCTCCTAGATCCTAGGTCGATGCTCAACTGCTGAGCCACACCGGCAGGACTATAGTTTACTTTTTATTGAACATATATATAACATGTATGCACATATCAAAGGCACAGCTTGGTAAATTTTCACACTTTTATTGTGTAAACAACACCTAGATTAAGAAACAGAGTAATAGGTACCAGGATCCTTTAGGTTTCCTCTGGTCACTATTGACCTTCCCAATAGTCCTTACATGACTCCTAGACTCATAGATCACTTCAGTCTGTCTTTTGATTCCCTGTAAAAGGAATGATGCAGTGTGTGTTCTTTTATGACTCACTCCATTTGTTCCACATTGTGTTGGTGAGATTCATCCATACTGTTGTGAATAAGTTCCTTTTAGTCTATAGTAGTCTATATTGTATCCCATTGTGTGAATACATCACTTTTTTATGCTTTATTATTTGTTTGCATAAGTATGGATATATATATAGTCATTTGTTCTACTACTTATGGGCACCTGGGTAGTTTCTAGTTTGGAACTATTTTTGCATAGTGCTCCCATGAGTATTCTATATGTCTTTTGATAACCACATATAAATATTTCTTTTGGTTCTATTATAGGAGTAGAATTGCTGGGTCATAGGCTATGCACATGTTTAATATTAGTAACACTGCCAAACCGCTTTCCAGGGTGGGAGTAAGAACTTGCCCTCTCATAGCAGTGCATGAGTTTCAGCTGCTCGATATCTCATCTATACTTGATATTTTCCATCTTTTTAGTTTGGCCTTCTAGTACGTTTATAGGTATCTCACATTGGTTTAATATGCATTTCTCAAGACTATGGAAGTTGAGCATCTTTTAATGTATTTTTATGAATTTACTGGCCATGTGAATATTCTTTTTAACATATTTATTCAAATCTATTACTTATTTTTAATTAGGCTCTCTTTCCTTTCTCTACGGATT